ATAACGCTTTCCAGGCATCTTGTAACCTATCAGAAGCGTGTTCCCGATAGTTTTACTTAAAAAATATGCATTTACATATTTTGATTTTTACCGATTTCGATTTTTAATTGATGACAACTGCATGGCGCGCGGCGAGTTATTTGATCAGCCATTTGAATATTTTTCTCAAAAAACAACGCACAAATTTTATACGCTAATTACTTTTGGTGTTTTTTGATTTTGTGCGTTGTTTTTTGAGAAAAATATTGAAATGACTGATCAAATAACTCGCCGCGTGCCATGCAGTTGTCATCAATTAAAAATCGAAATCGGTAAAAATCAAAATATGTAAATGCATATTTTTTAAGTAAAACTATCGGGAACACGCTTCTGATAGGTTACAAGATGCCTGGAAAGCGTTATCATGGTGAAAATTACGATTGAACAAAAAAATTTACCTAAAAAATCGGTGTTTTTTGGATATTTTTTAAAAAAAGTAGTGTAAAATGACGTTTTTCGAAAATTTCGCATACGCCATTCGAAAGAGCGACCCCGAAAATAGTAGGATATGGTCATCTCGATTTTTTTACATTTTTATTTTGCAAGTACCATCACGCTGAATTCCGTGTGCAAATTCTGCACATTTGGGCGTTAAAGGGTTAATATACGGTACGTTTCGACTTCACAGAGTCTTCATCAGCCGTAAAAAACTCCTTAACAGATGAAACCAATTTCCTCTTAAGACATCCGAAACTACTACGACCACACTATATGTCCTAACTGTGCAGATGGTCACACGTTAGTGACAAAGATTCAATACACATCCAGACCCCCCCTCCACCTCACCCACATGTTTACATTTCTATCCATTGTCAGAAACACGTTTAAGCAAATGAACATATATGTCATCGAGAGATTCAGTATCCTTTTTCAAATTAATACCATTTAACTGTTCTTTTATATGTAATATAAATATGTCTTTTAGATTAATGATATTATTCTATAATATTAATGATATTAATCTCTTATTATAATTATATTCGGAGTCCATAATTTTCGTATTCTTCCAGTCAAAGACATGATTGCACTCTAATGCATGGTTTGTTAAAACTGAATATCTAGATGCATCAAGTTTTCTATTATTTATATATTCATTTACTCTAGTATTTAATTTCCTCTTTGTCTGTCCTACATAAGTCACATTACAGTTCTCACATGGAATCTTATATACAACACTATTACTATTACCTTTTTCTTTTTTATCTTTAAGTACTTTATTAAGTATATTTATTAAGTATATACTTTATAATTTTATTAAGTATATAATCTTATTAAGTATATACTTTATTAAGTATATTAAGTACTTTATTTTTGTCTCCGATTGTAGCTGATTTAGTGTTACAAGACTCGGAAGAAAAAGCTTTAAATTTACTAAGTTTCAAAGTGTCATTTTATTTTCGTTATGTGGATGATATAATTTTGGCAGCCCCGGAGGATAAAATCATGGTTATTTTTGATATTTTTAATAGCATTCATGAACGATTACAGTTCACAATAGAATATGAGCATAATCATTGTATAAGTTTTTTGGATTTCTTACTGATTGTGGAAGATGGTAGTATAACAATTGATTGGTTTCATAAGAAAATTTTTTCTGGGAGATATTTATCTTATTTGTCTAACCACCCTCTTTGTCACAAAATAGGCGCAATTTATGGCCTGGTGGACAGAGCGATATTACTATCACATCCTAAATTTCATCAGAAAAATTTAGAAAAATGTATTTCAATCCTTTTAAATAATGGATATCCGCTGGAATTAATTTTCAAACAATTTAGTATACGAATTAAAAATTTGATACAAATTAAAAAAATTACTTCCACATTCAGTGATAACTCGGAAGAAAGTAATAAAGATTTAAATAAGAAAAAGTTCATCGTATTTCCATTTATAAATAGTGTAACATATTCAATTACTCATATGTTCAATGAATCAGTCTATAGTATTGCCCTTACGGAAAAAAACTATTGATAAATGGTGAAATGGTCAATAGTAATTTGGCCAATAGTTAGTACTGTTGGTGAATAGTTATTATTGATCATTATTTACTGTTGGCCAATAGTTACTATTGATCAATAGTCCCTCGTAAAAAAGGTCAGTTTTCTCTAATTACTGTTAGATTGTTAAAATAAGTATTACTAATTAGCATCAATTTTAGAATAAAATCGTGAAAAAAAAAAATTTTCCTCGAGAAAAATTATCCTAAATTCGAGAATTAATTTTTTTTCATGATACTTCCCAAACGGTCACCCATCCGAAGACGAACCATGACTCGCATGCTTAACTTTGACAATCGTACGGGAACTGCTGTACTTCGATGACCCACGAATCTGTATATGTCAACGTCTATATAATTGTGATATATCTGTTCAATGGAAATATTAAAAACAGATGGTTATGTGTTTATATGATAGTGTATGTATTAGTGTATGTATTATTTCCGTAAGTGTAATGCGCATGACGTATCATTTTTTATCTTTGTTTTTCATCGAATATTAAAGGATATAATGATACATCAAATAATAATCCACAAATAATAACAAATAATTGATTAAAATCGATTTCTTTATTCAAATTTGTATAAAAATTATTTCCGTAAGTGCAGAAATGTATTAGGTGAATAGTTACTATTGGATCCAATATTATTCAAACTATTGGAGTCCTAATAGTAACTATTGAAGCATCAATAGTAACTATTGGAGTCCTAATAGTAACTATTGAAGCATCAATAGTAACTACTGGAGTCTCAGTAGTAACTATTGGAGTCTCAGTAGTAACTACTGGAGTCTCAATAGTAACTACTGGAACACCAGTAGTAACTATTGATTCTTAATAGTTTTTTTCCATAAGGGTGGTTACAGGTGTTTGAATAAATTAGATAGAATTATTAAAGTACTTAAAGATAAAAAAGAAAAAGGTAATAGTAACAGTAATAGTGTTGTATATAAGATTCCATGTGAGAACTGTAATGTGATTTATGTAGGACAGACAAAGAGGAAATTAAGTACTAGAGTAAATGAACGTATAAGTAATAGAAAACTTGATGCATCTAGACATTCAGTTTTAACAAACCATGCATTAGAGTGCAATCATGTCTTTGACTGGAAGAATACGAAAATTATGAACTCCGAATCTAATTATAATAAGAGATTAATATCATTAATATTATAGAATAATATCATTAATCTAAAAGACATTACATATAAAAGAACAGTTAAATGGTTGTTTGCGTTGTTTCTAACAGTTTAATTTAAAATGTCGCGCGTCTCCGTTCTCGCAACGCCGAGCAACTACTGCTCTAGATTTAGTTGTAATTTTAGTTTTATGGCGTTCCGCTAGATCTCGCTAGAGATCGAAATATATAGATGCTCTCTCGAGCACGAACGTTCGTAAAAGAAAACTGTTACAGCGTTATTATTATTTTTCTCATGTTCTTTAGTCTGCATTAAAAGAGAATTTATTTGCATAAGTGTGTGTTATCATTCCAAGACTTTTGCGACATATAACTTCACGAACATTTTGGTCCTTCGAGCCGGATATAGGCTGAAGAATTTTGAGATTGATAATCGAGGTCCTTTCTTCGGTATTAACTTGCGCTACATCAAGGCATCGGAAAAGAAGGTCAGCCATATTGCAACGAGTTCATACATGCGGATGGATATAAGTTACATCTTATAGCATTCGTACGACAAAACCGTGAATTGAACAAAGAGCTCATTAACGAGACCCTCAAGAAACAACGTTACGGAAGGTTGATCTAACCTAAAAGTCAGCAACTCGCGTTCAAGTTCTACAGGCGTGTACCGGTGTACATCATGCAAAACCTGCAGGAAGAGCTCAGGGCATTGAAGCAGCGTTGCACGACCGTAAAAGCGCAGTGCACGCGATTTCAATCATATGTGGATGCCGTGGATATTCAGAGTGTTTCGATCATCGAGTTACGTGCGCGGCTACAAAGATTCACACCGTGCTGGAATGAATTCAGCGGAATTCAAGGTAGAATCGAGGCATTAGACATTAGCGATCAAAGCGAAGCAAATCATGAGGTAGAAAGAGAAGCGTTTGAAGGTAAATATTTTACAATTGTTACTAAGTTAGAGATGCTCATAGAACAAAGGCATAGAATAGATCAGCCTATCAATGCGGTACAGAATCTCCATCAAGCAGGAGAGAGCACGCCATTAACGCAGGGAGTAATTTCCGTAAATGATTCGTTAAAATTGCCTCGTATAACTTTACCTACGTTTTCAGGCAAATATGATGAGTGGACAGCGTTCCGTAACCTGTATCACAGTATGATTCATCAGAATGCTTTGCTGCCGGATGTGCAAAAGATGCAATACTTAGTGTCGGCATTAAAGGGCGAGGCGCATGACGTACTTTCTTCGCTTGAGCCTTCCTCGGAAAACTACATGGAAGCTTGGCAAATGCTTATCGAGAGGTATGACGATCCCGGATTCATCATTGGCAAACATGTGAAAGCATTGTTTGATCTTCCGCATATGAATAAAGAAAATCACATTGTTTTGAGAAAATTATTGGATACAGTATTAAAGCACATGCTAGCGCTTAAAGCTTTAAAGAGACCAATAGAACATTGGGACGACTTGATGCGGCACATAGTCACATCTCGGTTGGACCAGACAACTTCAAGAGAATGGGAAACTACTATAAAAAGAGATAGTATTCCTACGTTTAATCAACTCATCGCATTTTTAACTCAATGCTGCAGGGCGTTAGAAGCATCATCTAGAGATCAGTGCTCATCTGTCGCCAAGGTGTCGAGCGAAAAGTCTTCGCAAAATAAAGGGATTGCGGCTCACGCAACGACCATAAAAAATAGTTGTTTATATTGTCATCAGGAAAACCATGGCATTTACAAATGCAAGGACTTCTTAGCGCTTCAAGTGGATCAGCGTTTAAAGGAGGTAAAAGCTCGCAGGATGTGCTTAAATTGTTTGAAGAGCGCATCACATCAAGCTAAAGAATGCTCAGCCGAGGAATGTCGCAAATGCAGTAAGCGTCATAACACATTGCTGCATTTTGATCGAACTAATAAAGACGAATCAAATGCAAGCTCAAAGCCAATTGAATCTGATACTGGAAAGGTTATAGAACCGGCAAGCACAAGTTGTACGTCAGTAAGTAGAGCAAAGCAGGTCTTATTGGCGACCGCGTTAATAAATGTTCAAAACTCGAAAGGAGAGATGAAGTCTGTCAGAGCGCTACTGGACAACGGCTCACAGTCATGCTTCATTACAAGTGGCTGCTGCAGGGAGCTTGGGCTTAAACAACGATCGATACGCGTACCGGTATTCGGACTAGCTCAGCAGCTCACGCAAGTTAGAAATTCCGTAAGAATTACAATGCAATCTAGAACCACTAGATTCAATAGAACTTTGGATTGTCTAGTAGTCGAGAAAATCACACAGGATCTGCCTGACAATATGGTGGATAGGAATTGCCTGCAAATTCCGAAGAATGCTCCATTAGCGGACCCACAATTTGATAAACCCTCGAGCATCGATATGCTTCTGGGAGCAGAAATATTCTTTGATCTGTTGACTGTCGGCATAGTTAAATCGGCAGGTAACCAGCCGGCTTGGCAGAATACTCACTTAGGTTGGATTGTTTCAGGAAGCTGCGCGGGTTCAAACCAGCCATCCGCAAGATCTGTTTGCAAAGTAACTATAACTGATCCGTTGAATAGCACTCTAATGAAATTTTGGCAAATCGAAAGTTGCGACAGGAAGGATACTCGGACTCCTGAGGAACGTTCATGTGAGGATCACTTCATGAAGACTCACAAAAGAGATCAAGATGGAAGATTCATCGTTTCACTCCCCTTCAGGGAGTCTATAATGAAGCATTTGGGGAATTCAAGGAAAACCGCTGTGCAAAACTTCAAAGATTTAGAAAGGCGCCTTATGCGTGACCCACAGCTCAAGAAGGAGTACAGCAAGTTCCTACATGAGTACCTCGAACTGGGACATATGCGTGAGCTTCCAGAACCAGTTGACGACTCAAAGCAGCATTTTTACATGCCACACCATTGCGTTATGAAAGCATCTAGCACTACGACTAGATTGAGAGTCGTCTTCAATGCTTCCAGCAAATCTTCAACGGGCATTTCATTAAATAACGCCTTGATGGTAGGACCTGTTTTACAACAGGATGTTGTCTCTATACTTCTGCGCTTCCGAACTTACAAGTACGTCATGACATCTGATATAGAAAAAATGTATCGACAAATTAGAGTTGATACTGAACAAACATCCCTTCAAAGAATCGTATGGAGAGAAGATCCATCCGAGAATATAAAAGTTTATGAGTTGTTGACATTGACATACGGTACAGCGCCGGCGTCGTTCATAGCAACAAAAGTCATTCAGCGTTTGGCAGTGCTCGAAGCTCATAAGTTTCCAAAAGGAGCAGCGATAGCAAGCAGAGACTTCTATGTCGATGATTTCATATCAGGAGCTAACACATTCGCAGAAGCGAGAGAAATACGAGATCAGGTATCGGCATTGCTTAAAACAGGAGGCTTCAAGCTGCGAAAATGGGCTTCCAATAATAGCAGTCTTCTTGATGAAGCACGCTATCAAACAATCAGTTACGCGAGTTGGACAAATCTGGATCAGCCAGAACATTAGGGATTGACTGGAATCCTGTCGAGGATGTACTTCAGTATAGGCTTCATGTTGAAACGCCATATTCAAGAATTTACACCAAAAGAGAAGTTTTATCGCAAATTGCACACATCTTCGATCCCCTTGGCCTGCTAGGTCCCATAATCACAAGGGCAAAGATCTTAATGCAAAGGATTTGGAGAAGCAACATCGACTGGGATGATCCATTGCCTACAGAAATCAATGCAGATTGGATTCGCTTTATTCAGGATCTGTCGAACGTCAAGAAGATCGGGGTTCCTCGTAGAATCAGGAGCGACCCCATAAAAGGAGACAATTACATAGAAATTCATGGCTTCTCAGACGCCAGTGAGTCTGCCTACGGCGCATGCATATATATACGCAGCTTTAACGCACAAGGATTACCTGAAGTGCACCTACTGTGCTCTAAATCACGTGTCTCTCCGATAAAGAGTTTATCAATACCGCGACTGGAGTTGTGCGGAGCACAGCTCTTAGTTCAACTTGCAATAAAGGTCAAGAAGTCCTTGGAAATGCGTATTTCCAGAGAGTATTATTGGACTGATTCTTCCATAGTCTTATATTGGATTAAGGCTGTCAACAAGAAATTACCAGTCTTCGTAGCACACCGAGTGGGTGACATTCAGGATTCTACGGCAGTCGAGGATTGGAGGCACATCCAAGGTAAAGAAAATCCTGCGGACTTAATTTCGCGTGGGGCTAGCATCAAACAGTCTTTGGAATCGCAAAGGACCTCGGACAAAACATATGGGAAATAGATCCCAGTCGATTTGGCTGAAATTTGAATATGATGTAGATAAAATGGTCTTGATCAAATGTTCTCATAGGTTGAAGGACCAATAATGGCTAGTTTCCGAGATATTCGAATCGAAAGAATAGAATAATGGGTAATTAGGTCTTAAAGCTGCAGCCGAAATATAAACATTCTCGGTTTCGTTGTGTGTCCGTGGATTGGTATTTTGTGTGACAACCATTTAAGAATCCCGCATAAACACACACACACGCGCGCGCGCGCGCGCGCACGCGTTAGTCATCGATATAGGCAATAAATAAAGTACGCAAAAGTCGCTGTTATTAATCTTTATTAAGAGTTATTAATCTTAGCGTATGTTTAGAACTTAAACTTAAGGCATATGATCATTTCTTGGAAGTGGTCGGTTGCCTGCATCAGCGACGGTTTGGATGAGTCTGGTTGATGGGTAGTGAATGTTTTCCTGGTATCTAGCATAACCCAAATACCACAAAATGCTGCTTATGTGTGCACAAGTACCAAGTGTACGAGTACCAGACTTACAGGTACAATAATAACCTAATATTGGTGAAACTTCCTCATTCATGTTTCCGTCCATGCCATCGTCTACCTCGTTATCATCGTTGGGTCTATACGTAATCCAAAGTTGATATTTCGCTGCATTGCGAAACCTAGAATAAATTCTCACTCTCAGTAATCCCGGTTGTGGCAGACGGTTTGCGTCCCGTAGCATGTCAATATGGAATTGTTCATCGTCATTTCGTTGTACGTTATCCTGCACGTATGCGGGTGCTAGTTTTATTTGATAAATGCCAACGGTTAACATCTTTAGGTATTCAATATCTAACATTGGAAAGTCTACTAATTGTGCATCATTTATCGGTACCCACCGTTGAGCGTTCCTGGTCTTCAGATTTTCAACCTCAACTAGAGCTTGTACTATGTTCGGTTCTTTAGCTTTCTCAAGCATTTCATAAGCTTTTTCGGCATCAGCTCCTTCTTGAAATTCACTATCTGAAAGATTATTTTCATCGAATTTTCTTGGTTGATTTGTCACATTACGAAGTCCTTGTAAGAAGGCTTGAAGATAAAGACCTCTGATTACATATGGCCTGTTGATGAAACGTAAACCTTGGACAAGCGGCCCAAGAAGCATACCTTCGACATTCAAATGATGTTGACAAGACTTGGTGTTTTGTGGAATGAAAATATTGTGTGATATAAAAACATTCACTTTACATTCGATTGATAATACGTTCAAATTATCAGTTCTATCACATATAAGGCAAGTGCTATTTCGCGTCTGTGTTAAAACATTTAGTCTTAAACAGGCAGGATCTTCCTCGATAGCAACAATTTCATTACGAATCGATTGATTACAGTTGGTGCATATTTTTGTCAAATCAGTTACTTCTAATGCCGGTCTTTGAAATCCATCTCGTCGATTGATCGCAATTTCTCTTTTGGCAGCATTGTCATCTCCGTCAATTCGGGTCATTAGACGAGGCGCAAATCTTCCATCGCAGACGTAACAACGCAGCTTTCTAAACACCATTCTTGTATAACATTGATAATAATCGAAAATAAACTCACTTCGGAGACAGCGACATTGATAATAATCGAAAATAAACTCACTTCGGAGACAGCGACTTTTGCGTACTTTATTTATTGCCTATATCGATGATTAACGCGTGCGCGCGCGCGCGCGCGTGTGTGTGTGTGTTTATGCGGGATTCTTAAATGGTTGTCACACAAAATACCAATTCACGGACACACAACGAAACCGAGAATGTTTATATTTCGGCTGCAGCTTTAAGATCTAATTACCCATTATTCTATTCTTTCGATTCGAATATCTCGGAAACTAGCCATTATTGGTCCTTCAACCTATGAGAACATTTGATCAGGACCATTTTATCTACATCATATTCAAATTTCAGCCAAATCGACTGGGATCTATTTCCCATATGTTTTGTCCGAGGTCCTTTGGTGGAGTGGACCTGAATGGTTGCATCAGCAACGTCTGCCGGAGGAGCACCACAAGCAAATCGATTATGATGAACAACAACTAGAGGATCGCGATCGATCTACAGTAGCAGCTGTTTCCGTCGGTAAGACTCCGAGTCCATTTGAGAAGTTCAGCAGTTTAAACAGAAGAATCCGTATAGCTGCTACATGTCTACGCTTTCTGTACAATTGCAAGAAGAAAAAGACACATGGGCCACTAACGGTAGACGAGTTAGAGAAAGCGGAAAGAAGTTTAGTGAGAAGAGAGCAAGAAATCGCATTTTCCAAAGAAATTAGCGAGCTGCAAAAAGGCAAAGCAATTTCAAATCAAAGTTGTTTAAAATATTTAAATCCATTTCTGGATGAGAATCACTTGATAAGAGTTGGGGGTAGATTAAGACATACACAATTGTCAGCGGACATTAAACATCCAATATTGCTACCTCATAATTCGAGACTCACGGAGATCATCATAGAGCATGAGCATCTAAGAAGTCTGCATGCCGGTGCAGAAACGACATTAGCTGCTGTTCGCCAGAAATACTGACCGATCAAGGCGCGCGGTACCATCCGCAGATTGTTACGCGGTTGTATAAAATGTTTCAGGTCAAAACCACGTTCTTCAGAGCAACTGATGGGGGACCTTCCCATGCATAGAGTGACAATTTCAAGGCCATTCAACAGTACGGGAGTGGACTATTGCGGACCGATCTACATTCGTGAAGGTTCACGAAAAAATAGCAAACGTATCAAGGCTTTTGTGGCGATTTTTGTATGTATGGCAACAAAGGCCACACACTTAGAAGTAGTGTCTAACTTAACAACGGATGCGTTTCTCAACGCGTTCAAGCGTTTCATCGCTCGCAGAGGTAAGCCTGTAGATGTGTTCTTAGATAATGGCACTAATTTTACAGGAGCCAATCGTGAATTAGAAGAGCTCAGAGTTCTATGTAGTCAGGAGGAGCATCAGCTTAGAATTATAAACGAAACAGCCAAGAAACGTATTAAGTGGCACTTCACGCCACCACGTGCTCCCCATTTCGGTGGCTTGTGGGAGGCCACTGTCAAAGCCTTCAAAAAACATTTTTATAAAATAGTCGGTGAAACAGCACTGACCTTTGAAGAAGCGGCTACGTTTGCATCCCAAATAGAAGCTATCCTCAATTCGAGGCCGTTAATTGCTATCTCATCTGATCCTAATGACATGAGTTACCTTTCAGCTGGACATTTTCTTATTGGTGACACTTTGACGTCTTACCCGGAGCCTAATCTTATGCAAACACAAACGAATCGTTTATCGAGATGGCAGCATTTAGAGCAAATGCGTCAGCACTTTTGGAAGCGTTGGTCAAATGATTATTTGCTCCAATTACAACATCGTACAAAATGGCATAACAACCATGGCCCTCCCGTTCAAGTTGGACAGCTGGTTATTTGTCGAGAGGATGGAATACCACCCTTGAAATGGGTGCTTGGTAGAATTTTGGAAACATTCTCAGGAAAAGATGGCATTGTTAGAACTACGATTGTCAAGACCGCAGCTGGTTCGTTCAAGAGACCGGCTTACAAGCTCGCTATCTTGCCACTTGAAGAAAGCATTAACGCGCTTAATGAATAGCATTATAACTCTGAATTGTATTACCATTGCGAATATTAATTTTGTCCTTCTGTTTTGATAGATCCTATCAAGGCGCGCGGTATGTTTGCGTATTTCTAATAGTTTAATTTAAAATGTCGCCCGTCTCCGTTCTCGCAACGCCGAGCAACTACTGCTCTAGATCTAGTTGTAATTTTAGTTTTATGGCGTTCCGCTAGATCTCGCTAGAGATCGAAATATATAGATGCTCTCTCGAGCACGAACGTTCGTAAAAGAAAACTGTTACAGCGTTATTATTATTTTTCTCATGTTCTTTAGTCTGCATTAAAAGAGAATTTATTTGCATAAGTGTGTGTTATCATTCCAAGACTTTTGCGACATATAACTTCACTAACAATGGTATTAATTTGAAAAAGGATACTGAATCTCTCGATGACATATATGTTTATTTGCTTAAACGTGTTTCTGACGATGGATAGAAATGTAAACATGTGGGTGGGGTGGAGGGGGGGTTGACTGGATATGTATTGAATCTTTGTCACTAACGTGTGACCATCTGCACAGTTAGGACATATAGTGTGGTCGTAGTTAAAGAACCTCTAGTAGAGAGAATCGCCAACTTGGTCA